TAATATATGAAAATCACTGAGAAGAGTGCTTGGCACTTAATTAGTTTGAAGTAAGCTAGTACTAGGAACGGCAGTGGAGGAGTAGGAGGGTTCTCTTCTTCAGGAATATAAGCTTTATGCCTTCCATGAATCTCTATAATCATTTTTATATCATTATTCTTACTCATTTTCTTTTCTATTATTTCCTCTAGCCTGTCCACCATGTCCCACTACATTTTCAGCTGTGTTTACTCTAATTTTTCATTTCCAGTGTGGCTTACCTCTCCATGTTTATATGTTTCTCTTTCATTTCCTTTTTGAGTACTGCAAGCTTGTTTTTAATTTCCTTTTGTGAGTTTATAATCTCTCATTTGAATTCCTGCAACCCCCAAAAAGTTTTTTTTTCCTTTTTTTTAAGAAAGAGATTATATTATTTATAATTTATTTGAGACTGTGGAAAACTGTTTTCAACTCTACTTTTTTTTTTTGGAAGGGTAATTCCTTGTATAATCCATTTTCTTCATCTGTCTTTTCTTTATGTTCTTTACATATTTATGGCCAAGTCTTCATGCTAGATCTTGTCTTGATATTACTTATCTTTAAATGGAGCCATTTATTTATTGAAGAATTAATAGGATCCACAGAAGGAGAGAAAGGGGGTACTTTATAGCTTCAACTTCAGTTAGTTTTCTTGACCACTCACTCATTAGACGTTTTTTCTTTTTTTTTCCCCTGACCTGGGAGCTTGTTTTTCCCTCATTTTATGTGCAACAGGTTGTGGAGCCTTTTACATGTTAAACTCCATTAGTTCTAATCTAATCTATCAATAAATCAGTCTCCACCCTCACATACACAACACAAACTAGCTGGCTCACAGGCAATTGGGAGAGTGTCCACCCTCAGATCCATCCCCCAGCCACTTGATCACCCTGATCTTGAATAGGGTTTTTCTAGGGATATCACTCACTTCTCCTGTGGCCTGCCCACATTGTTAGCTCTCACTTCTTTAATTAAAGACTACTGTATACACCTTCCTAATCTAAGAAATGAAAATGAAATTTAATGAAATTTGTTTCCTGCTCAAGGCCTGAGGAAGTATGTGTCCACTCTAATTATCTCTTGTTTTCATCTACACTTCATAGTCTGGTAGGCTAATAGTTAAGACTCTTGGTTGCAATGATTCCAACTGATAAAAACCTAATCAAAGTAGCACAAGCTGCCCCTGAGAAAAAATGGAAGGAAGGAAGGAAAGAAAAGGAAGAAGGAAAGAGAAAAGAAAAAGGAACATAACTGGCTCATGTAACAGAGCAGTCTATAATGTGGGTGGAGTAGCTTCAGGCACAGGTGAATCCAGCAGTGTAATATATCATTGAATTTGGTCACTATATTCATTCCTTGGCTCTGCTTGTTTATACATCGCTTTCCTCTCAGAGACTCTAATCACAAGGCAGCGAGACAACCACTGCCAACTCCAAGACTACCTCATCTTTACAGTTTATAAACTTGGACAAAAAGCATTTTCCAAAAGGCTCTGACAGAAGTCTCAGGGAAGAATTCAATTGGCCTGGTTCAGATCATGTGGCCTTCTCTAAAGCAATTGCTGTTACTGGTAAGTTTCAGAACTCTAATTAGCCAGCTCTGGGCAGGGTCACCCTCCTTCAAGCACGGACTGGGCAGCAGTTATTATACAATGAGAGAAAACTTGTTCCTAAAGGAACGTATGTTAAGCAGATAAAAAAATCAAGCCCATATGGCAGGTTTGTTTCATGTTTTGTAGTTTAGGGTTGTATCCAATTTTCTGTTTCACTGATGAGATTTATTTCTCTATTTTTCACTCTTTGTTGTTTTCATTGGGTTTCTGAAGAATGTCTTTGCTTTGCCATCTTTAACGTGACACCTCCTTTTCTTATTTTTGATTTCAACAATACTAACTTCACACAGCACTTGATAGTTTACACACATGTGCTTTCAAGCCTTATTAATCATTGTACAACCTACAGTGGGGGTTTGGGGAAAGGGAACAGGAATGAAGAAGCACAGTAATCCCCATTTTTCATCAGGAAACTGAGCCCATGAAAGAGTTAAGAGATCTGTCAAAGCCCATGCAGCTAAATCAAATAGCTCAGAGAGAACCAAACCTAAACCCAGGGATTCTGGCCCCCATGAAGAGTTCTTGACTCTCCACTACAATCGACTGCTCTTGGGCTTTCCTTTTACAGGCTGCCTTCCCTCCTGTTGGTCACGTTCCCAAATTGCGGCAGTTTGAACAACGTTTACGCAAAAGGCTTTACAGGTTCTTAAACAGACGTATAAAGGGGCTCATTGGATTGAACCATTGGATGGATAGATGGAGATAAACACATACACTTTAAATGGTAGCCTTGTGATTATCAATCCGATAGTAACACAAAGCAATAGATAATGGAGTGCTGCTGAGGAGCAGACCTGCCAAGCCTTAAATGGATTCTTAAGTGGACACACAGAGATTGCCATAATTGGCACACGTTTGAAGAGGACAGTTCCATAAGTGCTTGAGAGTGTGGTCTCTTTTGGAAAGTTAACTAGTCCCCCAAGATCTTGTTTGCAATGATACTTTGCTTAGCAAATCCTTTTTCTATCATAACCAGCATGAAGATAACCTCCAGTCCACCCCATGTCTGAATTATCCCAGATTCTGAATTAAGGGTGCACAAATCAATGCAGTTTCACTGAAGCAAACTATTCTTTTCTTTGTTCTCTCACCTCCCCCCTCACCCCAAAAAAAGCACACAACATGAGGGGGCTGCTCCCACACTGGACAAGCATGTAAGGACCCTGTGCTGGGAGCGTGTCCTCTTTTCCTGTCTCCTTTACATGATCTGCACACACTCCTTCTCACACCCTTCTGTCATCTTGTGCCTCCCATTTTGGGCTGAGCACTCCCTTCCCTCCCTTCTCCTGCCAGCCCAGCTCACTGACAAGAGCCTTTATTTTCTACTTAATGGTCAAAAGATGAAAAAATGTTAATTGAGGGTAGGGTTTTGGCATCAAAACTGGGAATATTCCATTGCATAGCAAAGATCATTTCTTGGAATTATTGACTTAAATGTTTACAAGAAACAATTATCAAGTGTCCCAGACTGATTCATAAATGTAATTAATGAAAGAACTGCTAATAGTTTCCATTTTCTAGTTTCTTTTAATCCTACTGTATAAACTTTTTTTGAGGGGGACATCACTTCAACAACATTCCATCCAATGATTAAAGAAGGTAAAAAGTATAAAGCAAAAGTTATTGAAAGTTAAACCTGCCAGGGTGTATTCCCAGCTCAACTCAGACACAATCTTTATACAATGCAAAAGCCATCCTAACAAAATAAAAAGTAAACAATTAGTGCTGCTGCCAACTCCTCATAATTTTGGACAGTGAGGAAGAAGTGCTTCCAGTACCTAATTATTTGTCCTTTGCTGTTTGTGGGATAAAATATGTAACTGAAAACGCCTTCGCTGTCCCAGACTGGGGAAGACATAATGAACTCTGGCTTGCCAGATTATTCTGCAACATGTGAAGATTTGCAAAAAAAATAAAATAAAATAAAATAGCTCTTGTTTGGTTTTTCCTAGTCAACTTCAATTAGTGTAAGGATGGGTGCAGCAGGATAAATGTTTCCTTTTTACTTCAGCTCTGAAAGAAACACAAGTTTTCCTGCTGCCTTTTATGTGTAAACTCTGAGGTCCACAGCCTATTCTTATTCACCAACTGGAAAAGATTTGTCTGCCATGCCCAGTTTGATGTTTTGTGCTCAACTCCCAAAGTCCCAATTTGAAGTCATTCTCTTCCACTTAAGGAGACATTTCATTTTCCCTTTAATTTAAAAAATGTTCTGAATGCGAAGTGACATCACAAGGACTACTGGGTTGCCTAATATAAATTCTGCACGTGTGACACTCCTCAGGCTATGTCAGCAGGCAAGGTCGGTTCAGCCAAACTAACAAGCTGCCAACTGGCCACTTCGGGGAAAAGTTTTAGGCATGCTACATGTGTACAGCCAAAGTCAGACCCGAAATCTAAAATAAGTGTAACAGATACTTGATCTTAAAATGGCCCATGGAATTTAACCTTGTTAAGCAAATTCAAACTGGGCAGCTGTCCATAATGATCCAATGGAAAGTTCTAGAAAAATATTTTTTTCTAAGTGATTCTATCCAGGCCAAGACCTTCTTTCTGTCTTAGCATCATTACTGGAAGAGACTGGAGAATAGACTCCTGTTCTCCCTGTTCTACCCTCCCATCCCAGGCTCCAACCATTCAAGGCTTCTTTAGTAAAACACCAGGGTAAGAATTCACGTGGCCCCCACAGTGTCCCTTTTTTCACAAATCCTTAATACGGGAGGAAAATTGCTTCTCAGAGAAGCCCTATCCAGGAACATCGTATTAAATAAAGTAATTCTCAATCATTCATTTTATTAGGAAACAGTAGAGAGGTAGATAGATAACTGAAATTCACAGGACCTTCCTGTCTTAATAATAAATTTGCAAAAATAAATATTTTAATCCAGGTCTCTGGATTAAAATCAATTAAGAATAAAATTTTTTATACTGGAGAATAAAATAAATTAAGTGTTACTCTTTTGTAGCATTAACAACAGTGAACTGACCCAAAAGGAAGTAGCAAGAGATTCCAGGTCAGGCAAGAATCCCAAATAACACAAAGAGAACCATCAGTCATCACTCAAGAGCTGACTGGAAGAATCCAACTATAGCAAAGACCTTATTCTGACAGGATTCTGACAGGACTATCAAAGCAGTGTTTTGGTAGGTATGAATGAATGTCTTCCTGAGGATTAAATAAGGAATGATGTAAAACCAACTCCATTCACCCATGAGAAGACATCTCTCCCACTCATGCATGATTAACTTAAAATTTGTTTATAGAAAAGGGAAAAAGCAACTCAATCATCTGCATAAGATAGAGAACAAACTGGTAAATGATATGGTTATCCTAACCAGAAAATGAAATTAAAAAAAAAAAAATACTGACCCTCCACTTCTGAGATGAGATGGTAAGGATGTTGTCCCTTTGAACATATCTTGCTCCTTGACTTCACTGAAGCCTCCATCATAAGTTAACTGAAGTGGGTGACTCTTCAAGTGGTCAACGGCATTTGATTCTGATAAATAAATCCCATTTATTTTCACCATAGAGTCCCCCGTCGTAACTATTTCTTTGGGTTTCACTGTCTTCTTTGCTGTAATAACCAAGGAAATGTTTGTCGAAGTTTTCTTATTTTAGGAATCACTATCTTTCAATACTTTTTTTCAGTCTGAGGATTTAGATGATTTTTAAATTATATATTACTTATAACAATCAAGTCTAGAATTGTACAGCCCAAACCTCCCTGAACATATGCAAGACCTCACCACTATTTTAGGCCTAGTGTCATCAATTCAGCAGGTAAAAAGGAACTGGAAAATGTAGTATCTTATCTTTTTAGCTTAGGGTCTACTGAAGGTAAACACCCAAATTTAAGTTTATGAACTGCTTAATCCACTATAAGTACTTCTGTGTCCAACAATGATAAATATTCTTCCTGAATTTGGTCATGCTAGTAATTTTTCATTTATGTATATATTGAGTGCCTCCCCAGTGTGAGGCACTATCTGAGGCATTTGGGATGCATCAGTGACAAAACAAAGATTCCTGATCTCATAGGGCTTACATCTTAGTAGGGAGAGACAGACAATAAACAGTAAACCATAATAAACAGGTTATGTGATCAACATAAGGTAATAAGTGCTATGGAAAAAATGGAAAAGTGGAGAAGGGTGAGGGGACTAGGAATGGGGGCAGACAGAATTTAAGTATCGTGGTCGTGGTAGGCTTCACGGGCATGTGACCTGTGTAGTTACACAGAGCCCCATGATTAGAAGAACCTGTACTTAGTTTCATGTTCTGCTGTCACCACCTTGGAATTCTTAATAATTTTTAATCGAGGAGTTCCACATTTTCATTGTGCACTGGGCCCAGCAAATTATATAGCAGGTCCTGCATAAGGCCTGAAATGACAGGATGGGTATGGGGAACTGCAGGGAGAAGGAGAGGAGAGAGAAGGAGCTGGAATGTCAGGCTGGCACTAGATCACTACAGAGCTGCTCCGGGTGCTAAGGAGTTGAGACTTCATCCCCTATGACAAACCAGCCAAATCCAGCCGGTCTCCTGTTTTTGTACAGCCCACCAGCTAAAAATGGTTTTTATATATTTTTAAATGGTTTAAAACAAAAACAAAAGAAGAATAATATTTTGTGACACATGAAAATTATATGGAAATTTAAATTTCAGGTATAATGGCAGAGTTGAGTAGGGGAGACTGAGATTGCATGGACTGGGAAGTCTTTTTACTTACTATGTGGCCCTTTACAGAAAAAGTTCGCTGACTTCTGCACGATGCCAGTGTTTCCCAAACTGTGTCTCCCAAAAGACAGATTTCAATGTCAAGTAGGCTTGGGAAATGCTGGTTCATCTTAAACAAGTCTTTACCAAATGACTTTACCAACCCTTTAATATGCTAGTATGCGGTGTGTAAGTCTCCAAGAGGGAGAGGAAGTGGCAGTGTTTCTCAGACTCATTTGAGCATTGTACCCTTCTTCTAAGGAAAAGCTATTAACCAAAAGTATTCCCTAGAACTTAGTTTGGCAAACTTTCCTTTGGGCATAGGGAACTTCTACAGGGTTTTCAGCAAGGGGATGATGCAATATGATTTTGATTTGCTTCCCGACCTCTCATCCCTTATGACACACACAGAAAATGGCATTTTTCATGGTCCACTGGGACAAACAAGCAAGGCTGCCGCTCACAGTCATGTCTGGTCAGCAGCTTGGGTTTCCTCAGGCTCTGCTGGTTGCTCCAAGGGCTGAGGATCATTGTGTTGACCCACCCGCAGCCTAACTGCAGCACCCCAGTGAGCTGGGGAAGACTAAAAGGACCAAGACAGGAGAGCTAGAAGACCAGGGACAATGTAAGGGGTGACAAGGCCTGGATTGTGGCAGTGGTGAGTCCTTGGGTGGCACAAACGGTTAATGTACTCAGCTGCTAACCAAAAGTTGGAGGCTCAAGTCCACCCAAAGGCACCTCTTAAGAAAGGACTGGTGATCTACTTCTGAAACATCAGCCACTGTAAACCCTATGGAGCAAGGTTCCACTCTGACATACATAGGGTCGTCATGAGTCAGAATTGACTCAACAGCAACTGGTTTGGCTTTTTGTGGCAGTGATGGGAAAGGAGAATGCAAACTCAAGAGGTATTTAGAAAGCCAGTGAGGGCCTGGAGACGGAAGAGATGACAGGGATTGGTGAGAAGGTGGAGACTCTTCTGAGCCTCTGCCTGACTTGAATTAACTAGGGAGGTGTTAGTAACACTGCCACCTTCAGCCAGAACCCTATTTGAACACAAAGCAATTAAGCTTCTGGCCTTTGAGGTAACTGATGTCTATACACTTCTCCTCCCCTTTTATTTTCCTAATCCAGGTATTCTAAACTTGCACCACACCCCCAGCCCTTGCCTGTGGGGCTGCATGGGTTACAGTGTACTTTACAACAGAGGGAGAGATGAGTCTTCTGTCTAGTGGCCTCAGTTATCTAATAAAGGCTACCTTTCCTAAATAACAGAGGGACTCTGAAATGAAACCCAGGTTGCTCCTGACCAAATGACAATGATTCCAAGGATGGAGAGCTAAGTTATGTTGTTAAATTGGGCCGTGTGTGCTTTTAGAGTGACAATCACTTTTTACTGCCATTATTGCCTGAGTGCTGACACAGACCTCAGGGGTTAGGAGAATGTTAAAGTGGAGCAACTGCAGACAGGATGGATACACGAACCCTACAAACACATGCTTCAGCACAACTTGGAGGCACGAAGCCAGCTTTGGTGCTGGGAAAGGACAGTCACAGATGGCACCTCTCAGAGCAAAGGTGAGGTGCTGTCGCCATACAAGGGCCAAGTGGTCCAGGAGCGGGGGAGCAAAGTCATCGGGGCAGCACAAAGGATGAGGATAGTGAAACATCTGTCTCCTCAGTCACCTTCACATAAACGTGAACAGCTCGGCAAGCAGAAGGGTTTTCAAATGTGAACTACCAAGATCTACATGCGTAAAAAATGTATGTAGCAGTCACACTCAGAAGCAAAAATATATAACAAACAAATGTTGAGTAACCATCACACAAGCCCTGCCATCCCGTTTATGAAAAGTGACCCTGCTCCTCTCTAAGTCTGCACTCTCACCCCCTCAGGCTCCAGATCCCATCTCCTCTCATCTTGGTAGGGACTTCGCTCCTGCAATTACCTCCTTTCTGATTTCACTGGTCAGACGTGGGACCCCAGCAGTGGAACTTCTGAAAAATTTCTCAGGTGATTCTAATGTGCAGCTCCAGTTAAGAACTGCTATTGAAGAGAAAACATAAATTGGAATACACCTCTGCCCTGCTTAAGCCCGGCCCTGGTTTTTCATTGCAACTAGACTGAAGTCCGTGCCATTTTCCACAACCCGAAGTCCTGCCGGCCCTTTGACCTCAGCTCCCTCGCCTTTCCCTCAGTTAACCACCTGCCAGCAGCGCTGGCCTTCATTTCCCCCACCGCCCATGCTTGTTCCCATCTCGGCCTTTGTACCTGCTGTTCCTTCAGCGTGGGGCACCCCCTCCCAGATTTTTACGTGGCTGCTTCCTTCTCATGATTCATACCTCACCTTAAATATCACCTCCTCAACGACACCTTCCAGAGCCACCTGAACATAAGCAAATTACCCCGGCCACAGGCATTCTCTGCCCCATTCTCTTGTTTATCTGCTTCACAGCAGTCCTCAGAACCCAAATTATTGTTTAGATTGGTTTTCCTGTTTACTGTCTCCCCTTACTAGACTGTAAACTCTGTGAGGGCAGGACTTGGTCTGGTTTGTCAACGCATATGTTGGCCTAAGAGTGGTGCCTGGTACTCAGTAGGGGCTCAATAAATATCTGACAGACTGTGCTATAGAAACCCTGGTAGCGTAGTGGTTAAGAGCTACAGCTGCTAACCAAAAAGTAAGCAGTTCGAATCCAACAGCTGCTCCTTGGAAATCCTATAGGGCAGTTCTACTCTGTCCTACAGGGTCACTGAGTCGGAATCGACTCGACAATGGGATTGGTTTGGTTGGGACTGTGCTATAAAAGAAACACATTGGGACATCAAGGTCATACAAGCTGCCTAGTTATATGGCATCACAGGGTGATGCACATATTATGTACTTCTTTGCTTTTTCCTTTCTCCTTTATTCTACCTCTTCATCTCCATCAGATGTCACTAACTCCAAAGCCCAGGGGGGCCAAACAGGAAAATGAGTGAAATGGGCTGGGGAGACATGGTGAACTACAGATCATATCCCAGGCTAAAGGGGGCGGATGCTACTCAGCTCCAATTATTCCTTATTTTGGCTACAGGGAATGGGGAGCCAGTGCTGCTACAATGTCTGATTTTTCACAAGAAGCCATGAGATCTTCTACTTTTTAAATGTCGACAACTAATTAAGAGAAAAAACTTCTGTGGCAAACAAGTATGACCGGCGGTGGCTTGTAACCTTTGGGATCCATCTGCAGATTTTCTCCTCTCTGTGAATGTAAACCTACCCTCTTCATCAATTCTTGCTGACTGAGGTACAGCCAGTTTTGCCAGCACTGGTAAAGTAGTTTTCCAGCTTTTTGAGCACACACAGTAAGAAGCAAATGTATAATATGACCCTGAACACACAAATATGTAATTGAAATAGTCTCTTAAAGCAATACTTACCCTTACTGTTACCTTCATATTCTATTCTACTTGATTTTTTTTTAAAGGCTGGTTGTGACCCACTACACTGATTGTCATCCCACAAGTGGGTCATTTCCTGCAGTTTGAAAAACGCTGTTCTAGTATGCCCTGGAGGACAGTCCCAATTATTGGTGGCTCCTTCAGCACGCGAGGTCTTTAGCCTCTCTGTTCCCAGGTTTAGATCCCAGCCAGCAATTTTGTGGCAGTACCAAAAGTCCCATTCAATGCTTGCTTACATATTCCCACGGGATCAGAAAGGCATTTTCAAAGACCTCAGTGTACATTATCTGAATCTTAAGTACGCCTAATGAAATTAACAACTTTTTGAACTCTAATTTAAAAATCATTTATTTCTTATATATGTGAACCCGTCCATCAGGAAAAATACTTATCCTAATATTCCTTTCCTACCAAGTAATTTAAAAACAAAAACAACTGTGATATTTATGTATTCCTTATTAACGCCTAGAAAAATGTATCGGTGATGTTACTTAGGCATTTTTTGCACATTATTAACTAAGCCTTAGTTAATGTAAAAATCATCTGGAATTAGGAAAAATCATATAAAACTAGCCTTTGTGTGCAAATTCAAGAAGCATGTCTGTCCCCAGGTTTGAAAGGATGTTACATGGCCTTACACTCAGCGGGAAGAAGGGTTCTGTCCGGCAGCAGCACCCCCTGCGAGGCAGCCCTGAATAAGCGTGCCCGGGCACTGCTTATTCTTCGAATCTTCGCGGGGTCCACTGGGGGTTTAGGAAGGGAAAGGCAGGGATCCTCCTCTGTGGTGGGAGATGTTGGAGTTTTCGGTTTCTGGAAAGAGATTTTTTAAATGATTGGCATGAGTTTCTGTGTTTCAGATAAGTCTCACTACCCTGGAGCTGGCCCTGACACTTCCAGAAGAATACAGGGCTTTCTGCTTGGCTCCATTCTGGCCCGAGTCTATCGTCTCATTGGACCATCTCACCTAAGGTGTATATAAATAACTTACTGTTTTCTTCAATTATATTGTGAGTAAATACTCTGCCTCCCTACTCAGAATATTCGGGGGTTGGGGAAAAGGTCGCCCATGCTTGAAAACAGGTATTACCTATATAAGAGACTATGAGGTTAGGTACAGTATGTTCTACATGCTTTGAACATATTTGTATTCAAATTCAATTCAGTTCAAAAAACATTTATTGGGCACCCATATGCACCAACCACCACTTGTCTGTCAGTTTGTCATTCTGGTGGCTTGTGTGTTGCTGTGATGCTGGAAGCTATGCCACCAGTATTTCAAATACAAGCAGGGTCACCCATTTTGGACAGGCTTCAGCAGAGCATCCAGACTAAGACAGACTAGGAAGAAGGACCTGGCGATTTACTTTAAAAAAAATTGGCCAGTGAAAACCTTATGAATTGCAACAGAACACTGTCTGATATAGTGCCAGAAGATGACCCGCTCAGGTTGGAAGGCACTCAAAATATGACTGAAGAGAGCTGCCTCCTCAAAGTAGAGTGAATGAAGTAATGACATGGATGGAGTAAAGCTTTCAAGACCTTCATTGGCTGATGTGGCACGACTCAAAATGAGAAGAAACAGCTGCAAACATCCGTTAGTAACTGGAACACGGACTGTACAAAGTATTAATCTAGGAAAATTGGAAGGCGTTAAAAATGAAATGGAATGCATAAAGATTGATATCCAAGGCATTAGTGAGCTGAAATGGACTGGTATTGGCCATTTTCAATCGGACAATCATATGGTCTACTATGCCGGGAATGGCAAATTGAAGAGGAATGGTGTCATGTTCATCATCAAAAAGAACATTTCAAGATCTATCCTGAAGTACAATGCTGTCAGGGATAGGATAATATCCATACACCTACAAAGAAGACAAGTTAATATGACTATAATTCAAATATAAACACCAACCACTAATGCCAAAGATGAAGAAATTGAAGATTTTTACCAACCTCTGCAGTCTGAAATTGATCAAACATTCAATCAAGATACAGTGATAATTACTGGTGACTGGAATGTGAAAGTCGGAAGTAAGAAGGATCGGTAACTGGAAAATATGGCCTTGATGATAGACACGACGGAAGATCGCATGATAGAATTTTGCAAGTCCAATGACATATTCATTGCAAATACCTTTTTTCAACAACATAAACGGCGACTATACACGAACGTGGATCTTACTGGATGTAATACAGGGATCAAATCGACTACATCTGTGGAAAGAGAGGACTGAGAAGCTCAGTATCATCAATCAGAATAAGGCCAGGGGCCGACTGTGGAATAGACCATCAACTGCTCATATGCAAGTTCAAGGTGAAGCTGGAGAAAATTAAAACAATTCCACAAAAGTCAAAGTATGACCCTAAGTATATCCCACCTGAATTTAGCGACATTTAGAGACATCTCAAGAATAGATTTGATGCACTGAACGCTAATGACCGAAGACCAGACGAGTTGTGGAATGACATCAAGGACATCATACATGAAGAAAGAAAAAGGTCATTAAAAAGACAGGAAAGAAAGAAAAGACCAGAATGGATGTCATAAGAGACTTTGAAACTTGCTCTTGAACATACAGCAGCTAAAGCAAAAGGAAGAAATGATCACATAAAAGAACTGAACAGAAGATTTCAAAGGGCAGCTCAAGAAGACAAAGTAAAGTATTATAATGAAATGTGCAAAGACCTAGAGTTAGAAAACAAAAAGGGAAGAACACGCTCAGCATTTCTCAAGTTGAAAGTACTGAAGAAGAAATTCAAGCCTCGAGTTAAAATACTGAAGGATTTTATGGGCAAAAAATTGAACGACACATGAAGCATCAAAAGAAGATGGAAGGAACACACAGAGTCACTGTATCAAAAAGAATTGGTTGACGTTCAACCATTTCAGGAGGTAGCATATAATCAAGAACTAACAGTACTGAAGGAAGAAGTCCAAGATGCACTGAAGGCATTGGCAAAAAACAAGGGTCCAGGAATTGACGGAATACCAATTGAGATAATTCAAGAAACGGATGCAACGCTGGAAGCACTCATTCGTCTATGCCAAAAAATTTGGAAGACAGCTACCTGGCCAATAGACTGGAAGAGATCCACATCTGTACCCATTCCAAGGAAAGGTGATAAAATGAAATGCAGAAATTATTGAAGAATATTATTAATATCATATGCAAGTAAAATTATGCTAAAGATCATGCAAAAGAGTTTCAGCAGTGAGTACACTGACAGGGAACTGCCAGAAATTCAAGCTGGATTCAGAAGAGGATATGGAACCAGGGATATCGTTGCTGATGTCAGATGGATCTCGGCTGAAAGCAGAGAATACCAGAAAGATGTTTACCTGTGTTTTATTGACTATGCAAAGGCATTCGACTGTCTGGATCATAACAAATTATGGATAATATTGAGAAGAATGGAAATTCCAGAATACTTAATTGTGCTCATGTGGAACGTGTACACAGACCAAGAGGCAGTTGTTTGAACAGAACAAGAGAATACTAAGTGGTTTAAAACCAGAAAAGGTGTGCATCAGGGTTGTATCCTTTCACCATACTTACTCAGTCTGTATGCTTAGCAAATAATCCAATAAGCCCGACTATATGAAGAAGAATGCGGCATCAGGATTGGAGGAAAACTCATTAACAACCTGCGATATGCACATGACACAGCCTTGCTTGCTGAAAGCGAAGAAGACTTGAAGCACTTACTGATGAAGATCAAACACTACAGCCTTCAGCATGGATTGCACCTCAACATAAAGAAAACAAAAATCGTCACAACCGGAAACAACCGGACCAATAAGCAACACATCATCATAAGCAGAGAAAAGATTGAATTTGTCAAGGATTTCATTTTACTTGGATCCACAAGCAATGCCCATGAAAGCAGCAGTCAAGAAATCAAAAGACGGATTGCACTGGGCGAATCTGCTGCAAAAGACCTCTTTGAGGACTATATCACCTTGAGGACTAAGGTATACCTGACCCAAGCCATGGTATTTTCAATCACCTCATATGCATGCAAAAAGGAAGACAATGAATAAGGAAGAAGAATTGATGCATTTGAATTATGGTATTGGTGAAGAATACTGAATATACCATGGACTGCCAGAAGAACAAACAGATCTGTCTTGGAAGAAGTACAGCCAGAATGCTCCTTAGAAGCAAGGATGGCAAGACACCATCTCACATATTTTGAACATGTTATCAGAAGGGATCAGTCCTAGAAAAAGACATCATACTTGGTAGAGGGTCAGTGAAAAATAGGAAGACCCTCAACGAGATGGACTGACACAGTGGCTGCAACGATGGGCTCACACATAGCAACGACTGTGAGGACGGCCCAGGGCAGGGCAGTGTTTTGTTCCATAGTACATAGGGTTGCTATGAGTCGGAAGTGGCTCAATGGCACCCAAGAACAACAGCAACATGTGCCAAGCACTATGTAACATATAAATACTACCTTTACACATTTTGGACTCCACAAATGTATTTTTTTAAGGGATATAAAATTTAAAAAATAATTTAGGTTAAAAAGTCACAAGGCTTAAGCAAGAAGTTATTTTAGAGTTATATAAAAATGTTTTATTTTCTACATCTCAAGAATTCTATGCCGATAGTCTTTGGAAAAAAAAATTACTGGCATAATTCCAATTCCTTAAAAGATGTTTAAAAATATCTGCGCCAAGCACTGTGCCACCCAGAGCTCACTCTGGTCTAACCTCCAGATGGTGACAGTCTCTACCCAGGACCAGAACCTCACAGGGTGGCTTGGTAGTCCTGTCTCTCCTGCTTCCTCCGACTTTAGTACTACTAATTGTCTCTGAAAGAGCAATCTTATGGCAGCAAGTGCTTTTAGCTCTCTAACCAAAGATAATCAAATTATACTTCCTAAAGTCACTTCCATAATATGTGAAATGAATGACTCCCTAGAGAATAAGTTAATCAACAGCAAGAAAAAAAAAATTTTTTTTTTTTTTTTGAAATCCAGTGTGAAATTCAAGTCAGGAAACTTGGAAAAATGGGTAAGGTTATCTATCATGTATGACCCATAATCTCAAACACTCACTTCTTCATATATATTAAAAGCACAAAGACAGCTATATAAGAGTTTTCCTTCCAAGAAGTTATTTATTTCAATAATGATGACATTATTCAAAATATTTATTTCCTCTTGCTCACTTGCATCCAGAATGTGTTTACAAGCCAGACAAGAAAAATTATTATTATACTTTAGACATACTTTTTTTTTTTTTTAAATGAAAAAGGGTAAATAAAATAATCAGCATAATATAGTGGCAAGAGTAAACGATTTTGGGATCAAACAGATCCGGAGTGGAATCACCTTTCTAGCTACGTGAACTTGGGCAGGCCATTCACTGCTCTGAACTTCGCCAGCTTTAAAATGGAGACAACAGAGTGGGGACATTGAGAGGATCGAATGAGCTGACATATACAAAATCCCTGTCACGGGGGTTTAAGAAATGCTAGCTCTCTTTCCTATGCAAGTTGCCCACTCCTTATTTATCGGATTTGATCCCAAACTACTTTTAACTCTTCCCAAAAGTCAAGGCCCTAGCCTCTGACACAACCTTGCTGGAATAAAGACTCTTATAAAACGGGGTTTCTGAGGGCTCTATTCTGAAGGAGGTAATACTTATTTGCCTGTATACTTGTTTAATCAGTAGTCACTTCGCTTTTTAGTCTCCCTAATTTGTTGCAACGGCGGCAGTGTTGGTTCAGCGGGGGAATTCTGACCTTCCATCCTGGAGACCTTGGTCTGATTCCCAGCCAATGCACCTCACGTGC